TTCCGAGATTGGATAAATATTGAAATAAAGGTCTCTGCTGCTCTCCTAGAAGTAAGTCTTTTATTTATCTACACGTTTCACGATAGAGAGACGTTCCGAGATTGGATAAATATTGAAATAAAGGTCTCTGGTGCTCTCCTAGAAGTAAGTCTTTTATTTATCTACACGTTTCACGATAGAGAGACGTTCCGAGATTGGATAAATATTGAAATAAAGGTCTCTGCTGCTCTCCTAGAAGTAAGTATTTTATTTAACTACACGTTTCACGATAGAGAGACGTTCCGTGATTGGATAAATATTTAAATAAAGGTCTCTGGTGCTCTCCTAGAAGTAAGTCTTTTATTTAACTACACGTTTCACGATAGAGAGACGTTCCGAGATTGGATAAATATTGAAATAAAGGTCTCTGCTGCTCTCCTAGAAGTAAGTCTTTTATTTAACTACAAATTTCACGATGGAGAGTCGTTCCGTGATTGGATAAATATTGAAATAAAGGTCTCTGGTGCTCTCCTAGAAGTAAGTCTTTTATTTAACTACACGTTTCACGATAGAGAGACGTTCCGAGATTGGATAAATATTGAAATAAAGGTCTCTGGTGCTCTTCTAGAAGTAAGTCTTTTATTTAACTACACGCTTCACGATAGAGAGACGTTCCGAGATTGGATAAATATTGAAATAAAGGTCTCTGGTGCTCTCCTAGAAGTAAGTCTTTTATTTAACTACACGTTTCACACGATAGAGAGACGTTCCGAGATTGGATAAATATTGAAATAAAGGTCTCTGGTGCTCTCCTAGAAGTGTGTCTTTTATTTAACTACACGCTTCACGATAGAGAGATGTTCCGAGATTGGATAAATATTGAAATAAAGGTCTCTGGTGCTCTCCTAGAAGTAAGTCTTTTATTTATCTACACGTTTTACGATAGAGAGGACGTTCCGAGATTGGATAAATATTGAAATAAAGGTCTCTGGTGCTCTCCTAGAAGTAAGTCTTTTATTTATCTACACGTTTCACGATAGAGAGACGTTCCGAGATTGGATAAATATTGAAATAAAGGTCTCTGGTGCTCTCCTAGAAGTAAGTCTTTTATTTATCTACACGTTTCACGATAGAGAGACGTTCCGAGATTGGATAAATATTGAAATAAAGGTCTCTGGTGCTCTCCTAGAAGTAAGTCTTTTTATTTAACTACACGTTTCACGATAGAGAGACGTTCCGAGATTGGATAAATATTGAAATAAAGGTCTCTGGTGCTCTCCTAGAAGTAAGTCTTTTATTTTAACTACACGCTTCACGATAGAGAGACGTTCCGAGATTGGATAAATATTGAAATAAAGGTCTCTGGTGCTCTCCTAGAAGTAAGTCTTTTATTTAACTACACGTTTCACGATAGAGAGACGTTCCGAGATTGGATAAATATTGAAATAAAGGTCTCTGCTGCTCTCCTAGAAGTAAGTCTTTTATTTATCTACACGTTTCACGATAGAGAGACGTTCCGAGATTGGATAAATATTGAAATAAAGGTCTCTGCTGCTCTCCTAGAAGTAAGTATTTTATTTAACTACACGTTTCACGATAGAGAGACGTTCCGTGATTGGATAAATATTGAAATAAAGGTCTCTGGTGCTCTCCTAGAAGTAAGTCTTTTATTTAACTACAAATTTCACGATGGAGAGTCGTTCCGTGATTGGATAAATATTGAAATAAAGGTCTCTGGTGCTCTCCTAGAAGTAAGTCTTTTATTTAACTACACGTTTCACGATAGAGAGACGTTCCGTGATTGGATAAATATTGAAATAAAGGTCTCTGGTGCTCTCCTAGAAGTAAGTCTTTTATTTAACTACACGTTTCACGATAGAGAGACGTTCCGGGATTAAACAGAGAACTGAAGTCATTTTTGGATTTAGTTTCTGGCCCAAGTGTTTGAGAAAATAAAAAAAACTCTAACTGTCCGAAGTGTCTATTTTTCACGGAAATATTGGTTTTTCCCAGGGTTTATATACAAGTGCAATAAAATTATTTTATTACGTTTACGGATTTATCCTCTTCAGTATCACTTTGTTGAATGCCGAGCTAGCATTCTAGGTTACCTTTAAGATTTTTGAAAGCATGTTTTATATAGCCTATTAAGACACATATACAGAAAAGAAATACAAACTCTTCTCCCCGACCTATGTTTATTCTTCTATAGCAAATAGCGATATTATCGTTTGTCTTAACACACATATATGACTTTGAAAATAATATATATATGTCGTAAACCCGGGTAAGACAACAAGTGAGTTGGAAGGCGTGCAGAGTGGGAAGTCCGCACGGGACAGTAAGGACAAAGTTTGGGAAAAAAGACGCTCTCAGTACGTCTCAAGTGGCACCAGAACGAGGGGAAAGTTGAGGATTAACAGAGGAAAGCTCGGCGTCCTGCATGAAGTCGCGGGGGCAGAGAGGAGCCAAAACGGCGGCCACGAGGGCCGCCGTGAGATGAAAACGGACCTAGTACTGAGCGGGCCTGTTCGAAATATCCTGTAACCTAACTAACTGTCAACATCCGACAAAACGCCCTTTTTGTTCCTCTGGATTCCCCGGGTGTTCATGCTCATTGGTCAGTCTATTGTGGGTCATCCTCCCCTCCCCTGGGGTCCGGTGGCAAACTGGTGACACTTTGAGACGACTAGAAAAGACGTCATACTTTATTACTTACATATCCAAAACTGGGCAACTCTGCGCTTCACTTCCATCAATAATTGGCAATATGACCCAGAATAAGTATATTGCTACGGCCTTTTATGGTTTCCACAAGTCCATATCTCAGAAGAAGGCCAAGTGACACTCACTCCTCACTTTCTTACTGCTACTCTTTTTGTGTTGTTTTTCTTGCTTCCCTCTTTCACTTTCTGTCTATATCGTTGTTTCCTTTGTCTCACTGCTTTGTTCTTATGCATACCTCTGGTGAATCCTGTATAGGGTCAGTGACCCTAAATAAAGGCTTTTTGTTGTTGTTGTTGTATTACTTACATATCACATTGTTTAAATTACGATATATATATATTTAATTACAACGAGGCCTCAACGACCACTTTGCTAAGGTATAGGAGGTACCACACACTATAGTAACCTATGACGTATTTGTGTGTTCCAGAGGCTTCCATTTCTTTCCCAACCTCTTCCGAGCCAATAGCAGACCACATCTCGTCACTGAGTGAGTTCTAACACTCCCATATACTGCCTTTTAGACTTCCTTATCATTTTGATAAAATAATTTCAACCCTCTTATTATTTTATTTAAAAGCAATTAAAAGATTTAAGAGATTTGTGCTTCACCGAAATACTACAAAAAAGCTAAAAAAAAAAAACCGGACACCCTATAAACACGTTAAGACGTATATATTATTGTAAAGATAGAGACTGCCTGACAGAATTCATAGCTCTTAAAATTAAAGATACTTCGGCCAGTAAATATTTAATTTTAAGAGTACACCTATCCCCTGATTTACACGGTAGATACGTTCCTGAGAAAAACGTGTAAATCGAGGGATAGGTGTATATTAAACTGTAAAATCTGAATAGGTGTTCGCCCCCTCATGAATCAGAGCCTCCCAATATTCTTTTCAACATAGGTAGTATAGAGTAGGATATCGCATTTTAGTATAGTGCGATAAAAACAACAAAAAAAAAACCTTATTTGGAAAACCGTGTAAAAGCGAAAACGTGTAAAACAAGTACCGTGTAAATCGGGGGATAGGTGTATATATTATTAGTATATAAAAATATCCTCTATAACATTATAGTATATATAAACTATCTACTCTCTAGTAGGAATAAAAAATAAAAAGAAAGAGAGGTGTCAAAGAAGATAATGTCAGGAAGAGAATATTCTATTTAGGAAGCGGAAGTAATAAAAAATACCAAAAGAACGCAGTAAGATGAAGGAATATTTGGGGAGCAGAAGACAATTTATGGAGGGCGTCTGTCCAATTTGCAAGGAATTCCTGACAATCCAGGAAGTTGAGGGGTTCTCCTAATTGAAAACAAAGCCCAAGTTGGCTAATGGAGCAGAGGTTCTCTGATTTGACGCCTTTTAAAGTAAATCTTCACTTCACTCGATGTCTTTTCCGACCATTTCGTTTATCATTCGTTTTTTTTTTTAGAATCTAGTCGCCTTGTTTAAAATAACATGACAGCTATAGATGATAGTGAGGGGAATCATGATTGTAATATTCACATATAAAATATTTTCATCATAGAATGCAAATATTTAGGTGAAGAAAGAGAAAAAACTCTTAAAAACACCTTCTGGAGATCTAGCAACCCACTGAAGACGCTGATAATTATTTCAGAAAAGAAAAATATACCAACAGAACTCTATAATTTCTAGAGATCAATTGTAAATAGATTCATACACAAAAGAGGTAGTGAGGAAAGTTTTAGAACAGATGTGTAAATAAATCCCTTTTCAAACAAAGGCTTACGTGCACATGGGGAAAGGGAGAAAAAAATTACTGTATTATTTTGTTGTTGTATGGCGAATCCATACAGGGGAATGGACCCTAATAAAAACCTTTTTGTTGTTGTATAAAATAATTTTTAAATATAATATTTAGTAGGTTTTACATTGACATTGATATATTTTTACTGAATTGTTTTAAAATTTATTATTATTTATTTATTTATTACAAAACACACGCTATGTCCTATGTGGATATTTGCATGTAAATGTTTAATCTATTTTATGTAAATAGTTTTTAAATATATATATATACAAATTATTTATAGTTTTAGAGAGAGAGTGAATGTTATTTAAATTTACATTTTAGAGCAATAAATTATACAAGAAATAAAGATTATTTACACACATATTATCAAAAGTCCAATATATCTTTAGAATTACAACCACTAAACCAATGGCACAAATATAGAACATTCCAAAACAATATTTAAAAAATTTATTATATATTATGGTGAATGTATATCGGTATTCGTTCTGTTTTTTTTTTTTTTTGCCTACGACCATACCACTCTACGTCCGATCACCGAAGTTAAGCAATGTCGAGCCCGGTCAGTACTTGGGAGGGTGACCACTTGGGAACACCGGGTGTAGCTGTAGGTTATTACACCCAGGAGTCCCGGGTTCGATTCCCGGCATGGAAATTATTATTTTTTGGCTCAAAAATCATACACCATGGTTAGTAGCACGTAAAACCATATTCTCCGGGTTTTGCCAGAGTGAAAGTTTGCCTGATGATCATGGTTTTTTTGGCAATGATATCTTATCTGCAGTAGTAAAAAATGCATTTATATATAATATAATCATAATAATCGTGAAAAAATAGTACAAATTTGATATTGTACTGATATAAGGTGCATGAATTAAGAAAAAAAGGGCATCTCCTTATCGTGCAACTGAAAGTTGCTGATGGCTTGTGCCAGTTGAAGATACTAGTAGGATAGCAAAATAGAGAAGGGTCGAAATTATCGCCAGGTTTATTTTTGACGAGACCCGGCCTGGTACCAATCTCTTTCCATCCTGGTTGAAACATAATGTTTTCTCTCTCTATCCATCAGTGTCCATCGGTGGCGGAGTCTTTCCTGCGGTGGGCACCACCAATGATGACATTGTATACATATTTAAGCAGAGTATTTATTATTTTATTAACAGAGTATCATTTTAAGTTTGCTATTCTGTAAACTGCCCTCATTGCTTATCTTTTGTTTATCATTCATAGTTTGTTATTGCCTTAAATAAATTGCTGTGTCATCCTGAAGTTTGTCTTTCCTAATTTTCTACGTGGCAATATATTTTATATTCATCAATTATTTTTATTATATATATATATATATGAGAAAAAAATAAGTGGGTCAGGTGTTGATATTAAAAAAAAAAAAGAAAGCATATCCGACCCAGAAGCATCTGTGCTTTACAGAAGGCAGAGCGCCATCTGGTGGAACAGAAATATACTAAACATTGATTTAGCCTGTTCCCTGATATTTGGCCAACCCAATTTCTTGAATATTAATATATTAATTATAAATTCAAGAAATTGGGTTGGCCAAATATCAGGGAACAGGCTAAATTAATGTTTAGTTGATTTCTGTTCCACCAGATGGCGCTCTGCCTTCTGTAAAGCACAGGTGCTCCTGGTCAGGATATGCTTTCTTTATTTTTAATATATATACAACTATTTATTAATATATTTATCATTATATATTTTTATTTATTCTATATATTTATTTTTATATTTAACTATATATAATCTTATATGAACGATGTAATAAAGAAGTCTCAATTTCTCTCTCTATCTCATTGTTAATAATATTTCGAAGTTTAGAAAGTCCCAACGCCAAAATTTTTTTCCTCTTTGGATTAATCGGAATTCTTTTGGAATGCCTATTTCATGAAATAATTCCATGTCTTTTGGAAAATGCATTTTTCATTTTATATCATATTTATATGATTTTGATGGCAGTTTGGCCACATGTTGCAGCTCTTTGGCCAACATTTGTTAATTGGTTTTACATCACCATGTCCGCATTGGACAATTTTTTATTCCTTGTTCTGTATGGCCTTATTTTCACCCTTGGAGCGCTGCCAAAAATAATGCTCATGATAATTATTAATTATTATAATTATCTTATTTTGTTCTTCGAAATATATTTTTTATTTATCAAGAAATGAATATATATATATTTAATCAATGTGTGTGAATGGTGTTGTGTCTTCGTTGTGCGTTTTTGTGTTTATATATATTTATTTATTATATTTTATGAAATGTATTATATTTTGTTCTCAAAATTATTTTTGCTAAATGAATTGTGCGGCCCATCAAAATTCCAAGATTGAGGTCTTCATCCAATTGCTCTACTGGATGCTTCCATACCAAATCAACTTTGCCTTCTTGGTGATTCAGTGCATCAGAATTTGTGGGATGCCTTTTCCACTGCGCATTATCTCTGCTTTTCTTGCGTGTTGCACAAGAATCATAGGGAAATGTTCTTGTTTCCTAATCGGCTTCTAAGTAATTATAGTTCTGTCATCACACAGATTCTTTAATCGGGATTGTTCTGTCATGTCTCATTATGGTATCATCACCTGCTTCCCCTGCACGTCAACTCTGCCTTCCATGCGTATTGCGCAAAATTTATTATACCAAGTTATTATGGCACTAAACCTGCTTCCTCTGCAACATAACTCTGCTATCGCGCTTTCCTGAAATATGATTGTGATGATGTATTATGAAGATGCCATCAACTGCATCTCAACTTTTCCTTCCATGCGTATTGCCCAAGAATTTGTAATGCCAAGTTCTTATGGAATTAAGCATGCTTCCACTGCAATATAACTCTGCTATCGCTGTTTCTTGCAATAGGATTGTTCTGTCATGTCTCCTTATGGTATAACCATCTGCTTCCGCTGCAATTCAACCTTTCCTTCCATGCGTATTGCTCAAGATTTGTAATGCTAAGTTCTTATGGAACTAAACCTGCTTCCGCTGAAACATAACTCTGCTATCGCTGTTTCTTAAAATAAGAATTTGCTGCTGTGTTCTGAAGATGCCATCATCTGCTTCCACTACACATCAACTCTGCCTTCCATGTGTATTGCGCAAGATTTGTTATGCCATGTTCTTATTGCCCTAAAACTTGCTTCCTCTGCAATATAACTCTGCTATAGCGCTTTCTTGCACTAGGAAATTTCTGTCATGTCTCCTTATGGTACCGTCATCTGTTTCCACTGCACATCAGCTCTGCCTTCCACGTGTATTGCGCAAGCTTTATTATACCAAGTTCTTATAGTACTAAAACATGCCCTCCGCTGCAACATAACTCTGCTATCGCGGTTTCTTGCACTAGGGATGTTCTGTCATGTCTCCTTATGGTATTACCAACTGATCCGACTTCAAGTCAACTTTTTCTTCCATGCGTATTGCCCAAGATTTTAATTTGCTAAGTTCTTATGGCATTGAACCGGCTTTCACTGCAATATAACTCTGCAATCGCGCTTTATTGCAATAGAATTGTGACCCTATATTCTGAATATGCCATCATCTGCTTTCGCTACACATCAACTCTGCCTTCCATGCGTATTGTGCAAGATTTGTTATACCAAGTTCTTATGGCACTAAACCTGCTTACACTGCAACATAACTCTGCTATCGCGGTTTCTTGAAATAGGAATGTGCCGCTATGTTATCAAGATGCAAACATCTGCTTCCGCTGCAATTCAATTCTGCCTTTTAGGTAGCGACGCCAGAAAATTGCTGCCTTGCCGCCAACATCTGCATCAACTCAATACAGCTCTGCTTTGCTAAAATTAGCAGAAGAATAAGGAATCATGTTCTTCAAGTGCAATATAAATTTGAATTCTTGGTGAAATGCACCAGAATTTCACTACCATGTTGTTCTTCTCTTTTAGATAAAAAAAACATTCCAAAACAATAGGCAAATTAACTCGAAATTAATATAGAAAATCAATTTATTTTAAAAAAATTATTACGGAATCTCAAACCTTTTTTTGAAAGATTTATAAAAAATTAAATTATCACTTTCTCATTACCTTTCACTAGCTTGATAAAATTGTCATCAAGGTTCTGCATTTTATTTTTTCTACTCTTACTATCTTCAATTTTCCTTTTTTTCTTATGTTCTGCTTATATGAGGCATAAGAGCCGAAGCTTCAGCGTGAATTGTTATTACTCTAAGTTGTGTGTTACTAAAAATTCAAGAATTTTTGAAACCTCAAAATATATAGTGCTAATCAACTTTCCCTTCAACTTTCTTGTCTATTATTCCTATTTTTATCCATTTCTTTATATATATATGTATGTTATATTAAAATATTATTTTATTTAAAATTATATATCATAGATTCAAATATTCTGCTAAATCGACCGCCAGAGGTTACTCTTCCCCCATAAAAACTCGTTGTTGTTTTATCCCAATGGCTGGCTCAAAACCTTTGTACATTATGTAAATAAATATTTGTTTTCTTTATTCTACTCGCCTTAAGCCAGGCAGCACTTTTATCAAACCATGTTTTTAAATATATTCCATAAGTTCAATTAAATCTATTTTGATAACTGATTTTATTTAATCATTGCCACGACTGCTCAACAAATCTCTATTCTCAAAATAATCAGCATCAAGTATTAATTCTATATAACTAATTATCAATAATCAAACAAAAAATCTTTTTTCTATTATAACATGTATATATTGCATAATTATATATCTAATACTGATTTTTAAAAAATATTTTTTTTCTATTGTTTTTTTCATGTGTTAAGCGTATTTACGCAAGTTTGGCCCTAAATACCCATTTCTTGGTTTCTCAAGAAGCCACTGGGACCAAAAATCTTTTTGTTCGCAGTGGTACAGCCTACTCCACGCTGACGAGCGCCAAAAGCGCGAAACGCGTTCGTGGATGGCTTTTCTTGATTTATCAAGAAATTGGGTTGGTCAAATATCAGGGAACAGGCTAAATCAATGAATAGTTGATTTCTGTTCCACCAGATGGCGCTCTGCCTTCTGAAAAGCACAGGTGCTCCTGGTCAGGATATGCTTTCTTTATTTTAATATATATACAACTATTTATTCATATATTTATCATTATATATTCTTATTTATTCTATATATTTATTTTTATATTTAACCATATATAACCTTATATGAGCGATGTAATAAAGAAATTTCAATCTCAATTTCTCTCTCATTGTTAATAATATATTTTGAAGTTTAGAAAGTCCCAACGCCAAAATGGATTTCATCTTTGGATTAATCGGAATTCTTTTGGAATGCCTATTTCATGAAATAATTCCATGTCTTTTGGAAAATGCATTTTTCATTTTATATCATATTTATATGATTTTGATGGCAGTTTGGCCACATGTTGCAGCTCTTTGGCCAACATTTCTTAATTGGTTTTACATCACCATGTCCGCATTGGACAATTTTTTATTCCTTGTTCTGTATGGCCTTATTTGCACCCTTGGAGCGCTGCCAAAAATAATGCTCATGATAATTATTAATTATTATAATTATCTTATTTTGTTCTTCGAAATATATTTTTTATTTATTAAGAAATGAATATATATATATATATATATATATATA